ATAATATTATCCAGAAATTAATTAAATATTGATTAATCGATAGTTACCTAATATATTAAGAAAGCTAGGGAGATTATAACTTACTAATATAATACGTATTTCTGGAAAAGGTACTAGCAGTACTATACAAAACATATAATAATTATAATTACTACTCTACCACTATTACCCTCCAACGATTATATTTACAATATTAGTAGCTGGACCAATTAAAGGATATTACTTCCTACGTATTAGAATATAGTATATATATAGCAATAGGCCTAAAACTATTATAAATTATTAATTTAATATTAATATTATTATTAATCCTATAGTCTATAGTCGGAATAGATTTTACGGGTATAATTATACTAAAAGGACGAGTGGGTTAAATATATATCCATTTATAAATCTACTACTTTTTATAGTTTTTAATTATAATAATAACGGACGAACCGACTAATTTAGGAATTGTTTAAGTATAGAAGCGGACTATACAAGTATTGGGCTAGCCCGAAGAAATATATAGTAATAATACTCTATATTTTTTATTAAGAGTAATAAGGAGGTTATTTGGGGAATATAGTATAAGGGTAATATACAGTCCTATATATAGTCTTTAGTTTTATAAATTAATTAAACTTTATATAAAATTATTAAAAGCGGAAATATATAAATAGGTAAGAGAATAGAATTACTAAGATTTAGAGGATTACCTATTAGTATTAGAAGAATTAGTAATTAATTTTAATAGTTAGGTATAAGTAGGAAATAAATACAGTATATTATAATTATTATTAAGGTAGTAGGTAGAATAGCAACCAATAGTAATTAACCGAATAGTAGCAGGGCTAATAGTAATAAATATAAGAAAAATATTAGATTTTATAAACAACAGCGAAAATATAAATAAGGAAAATATAGAGGATTAGTATATAGAAGAGGGAGAAATAATTCGGAAGAATTGGAATAAGAAGTAAGTAAAGGAAATAGGAAATATATTATTTGAAAATCTATATACTATAGGGGATTTAGTATAGGAATTAATTATATGTACGAAAGATATAAAATTAAAATATATACGGGTGATGAAAGAAGAGAGGATGAAAAAAATAAATAATAATATAAAAGTACTAATATTTATATTAAAATAGACGGGACTATAGGAGGTAATAGAGGTAATATTACTAGTATTATTAAGAATTATTAATTTAGGTATAAGGAAGAAGGTTAGGAAAATGTATATAAATAATATTAAACCGTAGGAGGTAAATAAGGTATAAGAAATAGATTTAGTAAGGGAAATAAACTTATAAAGGAATATAAAGCTAAAAAGAGAGGTTGGAAAAGTAGAGGAATCAGTAATAATAGTATTAAAAGGAATTAATTTAATAGAAGGATTAGTAATAATTAAAAATAAGGAGGAAAGGGAAAATGAATATGTAATATAAAACAGAACGAAAGGAATTAAAGGGGAAGGGTAAGTATAAGGTATAATAAATAATAAGAAGGAGAAGGAAGGGGGAAATAATAGGATAGAAAAAATATAGAGTATTTTCTTAAAGGATTTGGAATTTAATATATTACTAGAACTCTCCCTAATATACTAATAATAATAATAATGGACTCTAAAAATTAGGACCGGCCGAGGGCACTATTAAATTAAAGATACCGTTAGGCTCGCAACTAGCGTTAAAACCCCCTTTCTCTTACTATTACTTACCGCAATTAATATAAACAAGAGTACGACCAGATTATTAGAGCGCAAAACACTATAAATATTACTTCACTGAAATAAATTACTATTATTATCATAGTATAATTTCCCTCTTTACTTATAGTAACGTACGATCGACCAAGTATTTACTCTACTATTAATAAATAATTACTATTAACTAATAATACTATACGCAATTATTATTTATATATATTATTACTAGAATAAACGAAATTAACGCGCAAGATTATCCTTTTTAGGAATACTTCGATAACAGCAATAATAATTTAATATTCGGCAATTTAAGTAAATTAATTATATATACTAGGAGCCCGTATATAGTTTGGATTACTATACCAGCATATAATGAATTAATACTAATTACTATTCCGGAAAAGGGGGAATTATATATCTAACGCCGTCTTTAAGTATTAATAGTAGTAAAGAAAAAGTATTTAGAGTTAGAATCGATCTACGAGCTGCGGCAACTTACTGTATTTTATATTAATAAGAGGATTTATACTTCGTACGTACTATATTGGAACGCTATTTTAGAGAGTTCGATTTTTCTATATTGCCGTCCGGTTAATTAATATACTAGGATTATATTATTAAGTACTACTAATTGGGATTCTATTTTACAATAATTATAATTAATTATTCTTACTTTTTCTATATAAGAGGTTTATATCGAACCCTTAAAAACTTTAACGTAGATTGGATATAATTAACTGTAGTCGAATAGAATAAGGATTATATTAGAATCTGTACAATAGGTACTAATATTAGTAATAAAAGGTAGGAACTGGTAGAAATCCTAATAAACGTTGTAAATAAAAAGAAATCGATTATTACCCTACTACCGAAGCTTAGATCCGTTTATGTAGTAAAATAAAATAGGAGTGTAATAGTCCGTTAGGATTTATTAGGGATAGTAGAGTTTATTGTAATAATTAATAAGTATTATAATTACCCTAATCGGGTATAGTTGGATAGTTAAGAGAATATAGTATAGTAGGGATCTATTCGTATAGAATTAATTAAAGTAATTAAAACGGTAATTAGATAGTTAATATACAAAATAGATATATATAAAGCTTCATTTATCTATAAATTTAAGACCCTCTTAATAAATAATAATATCAACCGTTTAATATATACCTTCAAAAAATTTAATAGTTCAACCGAAATTAATAACGAATTACGTAATCGCTTATCAAATATAATTAATACCAAACCTATAGCGAACCGCGAAATATACAATTATTGTAAACGGAGCCTTTATAGTATTGGTAATTAGGTAAATATTATTATTATTGCTAGTCTAAAGTTATTAGATACGGTAGTTAGAATAGTAGAAGTAGTTACTTAGTAGATACTTAGAATAACCGCCGGTCTATTCGGGACTATAATAGGACTTTTATTAATGCGGGAGATAATTATTAGATTAACTCAATCTTAAAACGTATATAAGGGATATTAGCTATATATTGTAGCTATATAGTTCGATTAGATTTTAAGAGAATTATTATTTTAAATTAACTAATTCAATATAATTAAAGAATAGAATATCTTGGAAGTATAACGTACGGCAGTATAGCGCCTATAGCCTACCCTAACTGAGTATAACTGATTCTTTTAATATTTATATTACTAAGTATAAAGTATAAGAAGCGGGTAATAGATCGATTAATAGACCCGCCGTTTATATTATTAAGTATAAATATAAGAAGTAGGTAATAAATTAATTAATAGATCCGTTAAATACAATTAGAGATAAAAGAGTACTTATATTATTATTAGTTATTATATCTATTTTAATTAGTTAGTTAAATTCGTAGGTACGCGGTGGCACCCTTGTGGAAGAAGGGAGCATTGTAGAAGGCGCGCTTTAGCGTATAGACTACCGGACGTAGTATTTAGCTAGAAATCACGGTTACAAACCGTTAGTAAGCACTTTAGACCAATCACAACCTTTGTTATCACTCCAAAAGAACTGTGAGTAGTGGTGCATCACGCATTGTAATTGCATGTTGCCTTCAAGTGCCGTAGAACTCCAGCTGAGACGGACTCAACCTTGTCTGGTCTCCTATTTAAAGATCTGTCATCAAGAGTTTATATATTCTTGATCATCGGTGGACTCGGTCCGGTCGTGAACTGCGAAGCCGAGGCTTTCGACGGACCATAGGTAGAGCCCGAAACTGAGCGGATTTCTGGCATTCTGCTTGCTTGCTGGCAGTCGATGTGCCAAGATTCCCACGCCCAAACTTCCAAGACTCTCAACCCTCCAAGTTGGCAATCAAGTCCCCTGGGAGCTGTAGGTAGTCTCGACTGCGGCCTTGGCTGACTTTGACAGCTTGACTCCAACCGCCGAGGCAGAAGTCGCTCCACGTCTCCCTCTCATCTGTTTCCCTTTCCTCTGAGTCCTCTTCTTCTGAGCTCCTTTCCCCATGGTTGTCTAACGCATCTGTGGCAATCATTGTGCATCAGGTTAAATGTTCTCATGGTCTGCTGGCCGCCGGAGAGCCCCAAAAGGATGGCCCCGTGCAGTGACCCTTGAGCTGATTGACGCCGCAACGGCCACGTGCATGCAGCGGCGGGCTATGGGTAGTGGTACGATAGGGAAAAACAAAAATAACAGCAAATGGCGGCGCCAGCGAAAGGCGATAGCGCTTCCAACACCTAACATAATCCGTCCGGTCGTCAATTCCCTTGATAATCATGGATTTCTAACTTTGGCATGAGACGAAAACTTTAGTAAGGCGACTTCCGCACTGCGGTGTATACAGCAGCAGCTGCTGGCAGCTCGAAACAAGAACAAGTAAACGTACAGGTAGGAAAGAAGAGAGCTGGTAAGAACTGACAATCCGATCAGGGAAGGGACATATTAATCTGGGACAATGCAGATGAGAAATCGAGCAGCCAACAGAAATTAATCAGCGACGATGTATGGCCATGTACAATTGACAAATGGGACGCACTGGAACCCACGCCTCGGTACCGCCCGATGCCCGCCTCGATGCATCGGGGGGCGGGTGTTGTAGGCTTGGCTGACTGCCAACTGGAACGTGTTTGCTCATTGGTCTTGGGTTCGGTGTCGGAAGCTACCATCCCCGTGTGGGAATCGGGCTGGCACCTTCGGGTCTGACATGTGCATTCTCCATCCTTTTACATGGTTCAAGGAGACAGAAAGAACATTCTGTGGGTGTATGCATATACTTATATGAGGTCTCCCCACGTCACTAGCTCTCATCAGCTTTCTTCCCCGAATCATACACTCGGGTTGAACCACATTGAACAGCCCAAACCAATTACAATATGCCCTACATCACGGAAGGCGAACCCAAACCTATTGGTTCATATCCAGACTCAGGCATCGATGTTCTTATCGTGGGAACCGGCCTGGCTGGCCTAACGGCTGCGATTGAGTGCCGTCGCAAAGGTCATACGGTCCGAATCCTGGAGAAATGCCCAGACATCAACACCCAAGGTGAGTGTGTTTTCCGAACATCATCTACGTGTCCAAAGCCAATGTCAGCTAACGCATGCTTGGTCAGGGGATATGTACTTCATGGGTCTGTCTGCCACCAAATTCTTCAAACACTGGCCTGAGATGGCGAAGGAGTATGACGAGATATCTCTCCACAATTCCTGGCTTGCGACCTACAAGCACGACGGAGAATTGGTAATTCCTCCCCTCAAGGTTGCTGAACGACTCCGGGAGGCTGGACTTGATCCCGGCACTCCTCCTGGGCTCTTTCAAATGCGCCCGCTTGTTTACCGGATGTATATTCGTCAGGTGGGCCGACTCGGGATTCCCATTACATTCAACAAGAAGGTGGTCGACTATTATGAGGACTTGAAACGCGAAGTGGCCGGGGTCATTACTGAGGACGGCGAAAGATACGAAGCGCATGTCGTAATTGCGGCCGATGGCGTCGGATCAAAGGCGCAAAAGCTCCTCGGTGGCCAGGTCAGGGCTATGAAGTCTGGCAGAGCCATGTGGCGCGCGGCGTTTGACATTAGGTACCTGGACCAGAAGCCCGAACTCAAGAAGTTCTTTAGTATGCACATTCCAGAGGGCGGTGGAAAGCCAGAACCCATCGTCCGTACCTGGCTTGGGTAAGTGGTGCTACCCATGCACGTGTTAGTGTGGCGGGAACTGACGTTGGAGACAGACCGGGAACTTATGCCATGCAGCTGACTCGCCCAGACACGGTGATCTGGATCATGAACCACGATGTTACGGGTTCCGAGAAAGAGTCTTGGACACACACGGTCGAGTCGGACGAGGTGTTGAGGAACATGGACAACAAAGTCCCCACGCCTTGGGCGCCCGAGCTCAAGGAGCTGATCAAGCTTACTCCGCCCAAGACCATCATTAACTTTGAGCTCTTTTGGCGCAATCCTCAACCCAAGTGGGTATCTCCGGGCGGCCGTGTTGTCAACATTGGGGACGCCGCACACTCGTTCTTGCCAGCTTCGGGAAATGGGGCGACGCAAGCAATTGAAGATGCCGTCAGCCTGGCGTCGTGTCTCCAGATCGGCGGATGGGATAATGTTCCACAGTCGGTTCGTGCTCACGTGAGGATGCGCTTCATTCGCAACGCATGTGCTCAGAAGCTGGGCTTCTTCAACGCCGAACTGCTGCAAGACACCGACTGGAAGAATGCGAAGGTGGATTATCGCAACGCCCAGCCTAGGATGCCCAGATGGGTCTGGCAGCACGATCCGGAGAAGTATGCGTACGAGGTTTACGACCAGGTGGTTTTGAACATGAAGAGGGGCATTCCGTTCAACAAGGACTTTGAAGTGCCGCCCAACTATCCGCCGGGGTACAAGTACGAGCCGTGGAAGATTGAAGACATCATGGAGGCGTTGCGCGCGGGAAAAAAGGTCGAGCTGGGTGCTGGAGACTGGAGTTAAGTTAGTCAAGGGGAGTCATTATCACCATGTGGTCATCTGATACGTACCTGTTACGCTGGCTATTGTTTTTGGTGGTGACGAGTGGCACATGATTAGTTGCGGGTATTTGCAAAGGAGGATGCTCGGTTGGCCTTGTGCTTGGGAGAAGTATTCATTGGGTGCAGAGAGTAAGGAACTGCCGGACTGGAATAATTAGGAGCAGATACCGGCAGATAATGCGGGAAAATATGATCGTGAGAATGGCAGAGCATTCAAACTCTTTCTTCCCTCAGCGGCATTGACTGTGGGGCACTTCGGCTTGTTTCGGTCGTGATATATGAGCAGTTCCTTCCCCAACCTGGCTGTCGCAATTGCCAGTAGAGGTACTTGAGATCAAGATAAGCGCGACTTCCATTTCAGTGTTCGGGACCTTGCATTCATCTTCCATCAATTGTCAGCTTGCCCACTACCAGGTTCTTCTTACCCGACCATCCGCCGTTCGATCCGGACCAAGCAGTTGCTTTCCGTAAGTTACAAAATTCATTACATTTGTTTCCATTACCGTCCCTTGGTCTACTCCGGCACCACCACCACCGGAGTGTACTCCTCCTTCAAGACGGCCCTGTTCCCAATTTCTTTGGGAGTCACGCGGACTGGAGTAGACTCGGGCCTCAAATTGGCGTAGCAGAAACCACTGGCGGCGCACATGAAGAAGAGGTCACGGTCCACTCCGCTGTTGAGAGAGAGTGACGGAGCCGACGTAGAGATTACCGCCGTTGGTCATGCGCGTGAAGCGGAGAATGAAGTTACTGATGGATGGTCTCTCCGAGTCGCCTGGGTCTGCTCGCAACACTTCGAATTCCCACAATCCATCTTGTACTGGCGTGCATTCGAGCGCTGTGTCATATGGCATCTCGCCCTTGGTTAGACCGTCCCATTCGATGTTGCAGTTTGCCGTGGCATTGGTGGCACTGTTCGGGTCGGTGATGGTGGTCTTGATGTAGCTGATGGTGCTGCTGCCAGGTCGACCGGATGGGGAGTAAGTGTCAACTTGTACAATTTCCTAGGGTGCTAGCGCAAGAGCGACCACAAAGGTGCTTGATGTGAGGAATAACAAGATCCCAAGGAGAGCTGGCGGTCGCAGCATGATGGTGGAGGGTCAAGAGAAGCGGTTAGGTGTTGGAGTTTTGGATATTGGATGGCAGAACTTGTCGAATGAATTGAAGGAGACAGAGCGGATGTCCTATACTAAACTACAGTCTCTCATGATGGACTCATATATTGAGTATCGCCAAGGTTCTTGGCGAGAACATGGCGTCGTGGCAAAGTTGGAGGAATACCTCTAAGTAAGGGAGGTTGCATCAAGGGAGTACAGTGGGTTTCATTGTCCCACCAAATCCGGGGGACGTGAAGGCTTTCTTACCCTGAAGGAGCCACAAACCCGGGGTGTGTGATGTCGGGTATCACTCGTAGCAGTTCAGGTTTCGGTATTGAGCCGATAGGGTGCTTTATCCGTAGATTGTCATGGTACACAAAGAAATGAAGAGGTCTACAATGGTATGTTACTTGCATAGGTACCTTTATTTTGCCCTATTCGGTACCAGCGTAATGACATCGCTGTATCTTATGGTGTATCGAGACAGAATCTGGTGCCCTTCTTTTGCAAGTTGTGCTTTGGGCATAGTATTTCTCCAATGGCCTGAGGACAAGTGGTGATCTGGGCGAGCGTCCTTTAGAGATTATCGCCGAGGACGATGACGGACACTGGACATGGATGGCGGAAAGGTCCTTATTCTACGTTGATTGACTTGTATGACGGTTTTTTTTGGGTGTTTGTACGACGAGCTTTGGGCCGGAACCTAGTACCGCATGTGATCATGTTGAGGACTTGGAAGATGGGGATGGCTTCCTTTCTTATTTTCCCCATGTTTTGTTTCGACTTGTTGCGAATGCTCCACTCTGTATTTTCGTCGTTACATGCTTTTGTATGGGAACCGTATTGTACTTGGAGTGATTGGCATCACGTAGCACAAGTAAGAATAGTGAATGTTACGTAACTTACTCTGCTGGGGAAAACCAAACCAAACACCTACGAACCAACGCAAATGTCGCCTTCTGAAAACAAATGAAACATGATCCCTTGAACATGGTGTGATTTTGGGCTTATAGACCATTCAATGAAGCCTATTTGATTCTTCAATCGTTGTATCGAAAGAGCAGATCGACGAGGCACCAAATCCGCTTGAATTGTCTGTGGAAATTTTGAGGTTGTATGCAGGCACCCGTGCCTGCCGTGGGTTGGTCATCACATTTCAATGTCCAGTGCTGCTGATACATCAGACACTTCCACCATGGCTTCTGTTCTCTTTGGCAGCTACGAGCACGAGTTGTGTTGCCCAATTGTGTGCGACTGGACCAATGGTGCAAGGCAGCCGTCGAAATCGAGGCAGGCATCACCTCGCTGTTGCCTCTCTCTGATCCAAGTTTATTTTCCCATGTCCTTTCTGACTCCTAGCTGGGCGTCCCAAGAGTACTGACGGTTCTCGCCAATGCAGAAATCTCGATGCCTTCAATGCTTCGCCTCCATCCAAGCAGATCGATTACTTCCATCTCCCCTTGTCAAGCCTACACAACCGCCCCACGGACACTAGCTCTGACCCCAAAGACCTGCCCTCGAGCGACGACGCAGTCGAATACAAGGCTTTCAGAAAGACGCCTTTGGTCAAAGACGATCTGGTCCAATAGCGGGTACTCAGTATCTCGCCTTTGTTGCAATTTGGTACTGTGTGGAAGTAGGTGTTGTTGATCCTCCCCCACCGACTAACTTTGCAACGTGACCGGGATAAACTCATGGCTGAAAGCAACATATCGAAGCAGACCGTTGCTAACCCACCATCAAAGGCAAAAATAGACAGACCGCCCTTGGTTCGATCGGAATCATGCAACAACATCTCTCTGGTCCAACGACAAACCATCTGACGATTTCCCCGTGTTTCAAAGGGTGAACATCGATGCCAAATGGGAGCGCCATGACCCGAATGCCCTAAAGAGAAGGAACTCCAGCAGAAGGGCAAATGGGAAGACAAAGCTTCAATAACCGATACAAGCCTACGGAGGACTTGCCAATACTGCCATTGGCCCCCTTACCACGGGATTCAGATCTCGCGGCTGGTTGGAGCAGATATGGTTCTTGACCTCCTTCTGGTAACCACACGATGAAGAGTTTGGGCTCCTTGGGCGTTTGAAGTCGAAGCCCGACCCTCAGCTTTTGACAGAAGTTTCTCAAGTTGTCGGCCCTTGTTCCCCTCCCCTTCTGAAGTTCCACACTTGACTGCGAGCTTGGGTGTATCGATTTCCTGGCCCAATTCTTCTCCCTGTTTCTCTACCATTGCGTTGGAGACTGTTCTGATCCTCTATTCCTAGCCACGAAGGCTATCCTGATATTTCCTCCGTTGCACATCGAATGTCAACAAGATCCTCGACCACACCATTACCCAGTGTTACACCAAGATTGAACAAGGGTATGCCCAAGGTTCGGCATACTCTCCATTCAGCAATAACCACCCGCCTGGGTTGCGTGTCGGGGTGATTTGATTCGACGACCGAGATACCAAAACAAGGATGAAGTCAAGCGCACTTCGAAATCCTTGCCGAGGCAATCGCTGCAGCATTTATCAGCCACGTGTGGGCAGGCACCAGAAGCGTGCTGACAGCCCGCTGCTGCCAGCCCATGGAAGCATCTCGCCTAAAGCGCAAGTTCGACTCCAGGCGTTCATTGTCCTCCTTGAGCGATGGTTGGCCTATTGCTTGTTAACAAAGGTTCGAGCCATTGTAAGCACTTACCAAGTGATAGGCCGAATTCCTAACAGTTTTTTTTTTGTTGAAGCGCGCCAGTCATGGTGATACCAGAGGACGAGAAAGTGCCGGATTCCTGTTTGGAGATCTGCCATATGAGAACTGATATAAAACCCTGCAGTCCTGGTTTCTGGCAGTGGACGTTGCTGGTTATAACGGAAAAGGTCGGGGTGCCGGAGCATCCGGTTGGCTGTCACCCATCAACAACCTCTTCTTCAAGATTGGCTCAGCTGTCCTCCCAACGGCCACAGACACAGGGTTGTAGCGTAAGCAGTCCAGGGCCAGCGTGCGTGGACTGTTTGGGTGACAGAGGGAGCACCTGACCAGACCTGATGCGTGGGCCTCAGACAGGAGACCGGCCACGACATTGAATGGAACGGTTCAATGCACTTCCTGCGTTGCCCCATCGTCACTGGAGCTTGCCAGAACGCTGGGCCAAGCAAAGATTGTGGCGCTGGAGTCCTGAATTCTTGGCGTTCTGCCGTCGCAATTTGGTTGATGAACGTTAGGGTGCACGATTTTGTGCTGCAGCTAGTGCTAGCCAAACAGCATTTCATTATGTGGAAGATCAGCCCACGTTCCATCGAGGCGAGCCCAAGGTAACGTGGAAGCCACCATCGGCCAGGAAGAGCCCATTCATTTCGCAGAGAGTTTTCTCGGCTATCATGAACTCTGTAGGCTCTCATAGGCTACCTCGTCACCGGTCTCCTCAAGCTGGGACCAGAAAGGCATGCCAACCAGACGGCGCAAAGGTACCCATGTTGAACCGGATGAGGCAAGACAAGGATGAGTTGGTGGTGGTTACGGCGCGGCTCGTGCTTATTATCCCTCCCCAACGGCCCGATGCTCCCGTTGTAATAGGCTGCACACCAAGTGACCGGTGAAGCTCGCGATGGACACTCGGTCAAGAACTCCTGGGGAAAGACTCGGCCGTGTGGCGATAATATCGTGAGAACGTCAGTCCATTTCCCTTGGTCTTCATTCTTGACGCTCAGGAGAAAATACTCTTTTCACGGTGACAGACTGCCGTTGGTCAACCGAGATAGGGAGAGCGTTGGGCTGGGGTCCGACGTTACTGTGTTTCCTTGTTCTGTTGGGTTCTCTCGTTATAGCCAATGAGAGCAACAAGTTGGGTGTTTACTTCCGGAAAGCCTCTAGGCGTTTCATCCTGCTGTCGTTACACAAGTCCATTGACTAGCCAAGTCAGTCGTCCTTGCCGGCCCTAGCTCCACAATGCTTCATCATGAAATAGGATATAAACCCTGAGAAATTGCCATCAGCGGGTTTCTTCTCATAGAGTAGAAGCAAGCACAGCATTCAGCAAGCGCCGCCATCACAAGAACAAATTGTAGGAAAGAGAAAGATACTGCTAGGTATCACTCCACCACAGTCAAGCCACGGCAATTTCTCTCCCTTCTTGACACGTTTGCTATACGCAATGCTTCCTCTTAACAACATCATTCTTCAAAGTCACGTCCCCCTCCGTCTGCAGCAGCTGGATCTGCTGGCTCCGAGCGCTGGTCCGCTCTCGATTCCATCCTCAGTCGGCGAAGGCATTCGGAAAGCTCCAGTGAGTGTTGAAATTTCTGCTCCAACGACTTTCGGTTCATGTATTTACCCGCCATCATCAGGGTCTGCCTGGTATCCGCTGTTCGACATGTGCCGCCAACGGCGAGGTTGTTTGGGTTATCCCAGGCCGTGCTTGTGGCTTCTGCCGCACTCCAGCCATGCGGGATTGACAGATACCAGGTCATGAGAAAGGACACTTTTGGGGACGATCATGGATAGACGACACTCGCTTTATAGACACTCGCTTCATAGAAGGAACAAGACAGCGGCGGCATCGGGAGGAGGGGTTCAACATGTTTGTTTGTTTGTTTCGGAGTTTGGAATGATTTAAAGGAAAACTGCTTCATCACGGTCGGTTTGCTGGCATCTTTTGTGTTGGCAAAAAAAAGCATCACGGTCGTTAAAAAGTTTAAGACGGAATCCTATCTAGTATAACATGGCTGGCATCTTTTTCTCCGTGGCGGCCTCTGTTGTCTGTTGTCTGCCGTGCAACACTCCTTGACATCCTGCCTCCCTGCACCACCGGTTCGACAGGCGGACCACGTCGGTGTCACCTCATCTTGATTCCATGTCATCACATCACTCTGTCAGCCCCGATCACAGCAGCACCGCCTTTGCGCGACGTGCCACCGCCGCGCGTACTGCGACCGGAACCAGAACTTTGGGACTGTAAGGCGTGGCTCTAAATAGACGAGAGGCAACCAGCCTTGTGAGGCTACTTACTGTGTAGGTACCTCTAAGCTGTCAGACAGGTTTCGGAAACAAAAGTACCGATTGGACCGGTAGGCGAGGGAGAGACAGCTGGCGCATGTCGGTGTCTCACAGTGTTAATTCGAGGTGCAA